GAACTTTAATACTCATAGACATTTTTCTACAAAAAGGACAATGCTTCTCTAACCAAATTTGTGTTTACATACACTTACCTTAAATGCATTGTTATCTATGATTTGATATAGAACATACTTGTAATGAATACCGTTTGCATAATTTTTATTAACATTTATGCTATTTATTAAGCAATTTTTTCAAACAATAAATAATTAACTAGATTTTGAAAAATATTACTCAATTATTTTACTTATGTATATACATCTCTCTCTTTAATTTTAAAGTTTGTGATATTTATAGGGAAAAATAGTCACTAGAAAAGATAAAACCTTGATAGACAATGTGGCCATAGGAATCAACACGGCATAGTGACGCATTGCTGTTGAACGATAATATGTATTGATACCACCTAGTTTAAAAAGGAATTTTTGGTTCTACTGATATATTTTTAACATAATACATTTGCCACTGTAATGTTCCCTAGTATCGTTACATGACATAACTAAGCGTCAGTTTTCTTGACATACAAAAATAACCCACCCACCTCCACCCTCTAACCTTATTTTAGCGTAGATCTCATGTTTAATTGGCTAACCTAAACATACCCATAAGTATATTTTTAATTCTGACCTTATGCACCCCCTTTAACTTCCGAAAAGAGGTAAAGATTTGTTTTTAGATTTCTCTAATAAATCATTTTTATCACAAGTTCTACTATCGCTGACGAAGTACAATCTTAGTACTGAAACATCAAGTTTTTGTGCAACAATATAAAATGTTTTTATTGTAATTTATTATAATAAAAATATTATAATCATATTTTGCTCTACTTTGTATTGAGTACTTTTTTAAAAAAAAGTAAATGCTACGAACTGTGGATTTTTACTCCATCTGTTCTTTATCTCATTTGTATATATATATATATATATATATATATATATATAGGTAACAATTTGTTTTTCATTTTTGCAATTTGTTTTTCATTTTTCTCTGTAGCTTCTCTTGATTTAGTTTTGGTTGATTCAGTACTGTACAGAAATATAAGTATTGTTTTATATTTTTTATGCTATTAATTAATTTAACTTAAAATTTAATTTAGAAATAGCAAGCCATTGAACTTTCATCTAATAACCACAAAGAAAAATTAACATATTTTAGAATTTGTAAGCGAGTGTGTTCAAAACCTGATCATTTTAACATTTTACAGATATTAGTTTTGTCTTAAAAATACCAAAATCTAAACTTGGTGTTTTCAAGAGAATTTGGGAACATAAAAATATTTTGCTAAAATAAGTAGCTATTCAAACCTTAATGTTTTTGTGTTACTTCTCTTAAAATGTTTCCATTAAACTGAAATGACTCTTTATCAGTGACATTTCTGATTAAAAATATGAAGTAATAAAAATTAAATACTTTATCTCATGAAAGGCTGAATAGATCTATTGTTTATTTTAATTATCACCTTTTAAATAATTAAAATTGAATAAAGTCGCTTTTGTTTGAGCGCATCGAAATAACTCTCTGTTAATTTGATTCATTCAGTAATCCGCCAGATTCCTTTTTGTGTACGTAAATAAACATTTTTTTCTTCTATTGTTACACCCTGAGCAGGAGATCTGGTCTTTGTTCTTCCGCCTAAAAGAGAGAATTGTCTGCTCTAAACTTTCAAACTGTTGTTGCTTTTATCGATTCTGTCACCTTTAACTTTAACACTTTCATATGGGAAAGTCGGGAAAAATTTCCCACACCTCGACCGTGGGACGGGGGCGCGGTTTTTTTTTTGGGGGGGGGGCGTTTTTCCCTTGACACAGCTATTACTGTATAAACTTTTGACTACCTGTAGGAATTTCCCGGTTACCACTGTGTGTGTGTGTGTGTGTGTGCACGCGCGTTCTCGGGAGTGATAGTCAAATGAACAAAAAAAAAACAAGGTTCGAAATAACAGATCGATATTTTATTTTTAATAATTTTCATAAATTAGAGTTTCTTTTTATAAATGTGAATAAATGTTCCTTTTTTCTTGTAAAAAAAATATTTTAGTAGCGATTATTTGCTGTTACTATCTGGTCATGTAATCCTCTGATTAGTTAGATTTGAATGTTACTGATTTGATTTGATTTTTTGAGAGCGCAGGTGCCTCTTGGGTGTCTAGGGAAATACGCGCGTTTTTAGATAGAAAGTATTTGGGCATCGTGGTTGCCCAAGAAAATTACCCGTCGTTTTGAACGACGTATATTTTTATATTGAAATGGAAGAATCTTTTTTGAAAACTAAAAACTTGAGACAAGTTCTGACTTAAAAACCATTACATTATTTATACTACTGACTGGTAATAAGAAGGAATTTTTATATTCTGAATTTATTTAGTCTGAGATTAAATAAAAGTGTCGCTACTTATTCCGTAGCTTCTCCATAGAAGAGACATATTTTATGAGAAGTTGATTTGAAGAAATTTTTCACTCCTTGAAGTTAGCATATGTTGCTGACATCAATTCAAGATATTAAACTCAGCTATAGATACCTGAAATTTCACAAATAACACGGTTATGTTTTTCCTTTCATCCAAATGAGAAGTTCAGACAAAATGGCTACCTCCAATCTGGTCCAGTTGAAAGTAAAGGAGACACCAGAGAGAAGACAACATCACCAATAAATTATGCCAATATCCACAGGGTCGCTGAATATTGTGAAGGAAATTACCTTCAGTAAAGAAGAAGTTTGAATACCTTTTATTCTTCAGCTATCCGGCGAAAAAAATTAAAATTTGTGTATTTTTTCTTCTCAGAACTTAAATACGAACTTTATTCATTTTCTTTGTGGACATTGAACTGTGAACTGTGAAAAAATAAAACGCAATTAAATATCGCCCTTGTGACATGTGGAAAAAAACTTTACTTTTTTTTTAAGTAATTGAACATTTTTATAATTTTCTGTCCTGGGAGCACTTTTTTTTATCTTTTTATTAGTTACTTTTAAATTGCTTATACACCTGCATGCATTCCACCATCCTTTATTTTTAATAAAATTTTTGGTATTGTGAATATTTGTTCATTTTGTTTCAAGCATCATTCTTTTGATTTTCCGATGGTAATGAAATTTTTATTTAACTTTTTTCCATTTCTTTGAACGTAAATCGATTTAAAACGTTTAAACTGTTTAACAGCTTTTATTTCTGGTTGAAAGAGAGTGCAAAATAGTAGGATTTTGCAGGAAAAAGTGGGGTTTCCCAGATGTTCTTGTGTAGTTGTTTTGTAGAGAGAGATTTATCCGCTTGTTCCTTCGGGAGGAACGAGAAATCTGAATGTGGAACTGCTAGGACTGGTACGAGTCTTCTGCAGCAAGTGCTGTGTGTAGTTTTTCCTTTAGTTAGGTGTCTCGAAGGAAGATTTCTCCGCCTGTTCTCACGGGAGGAACGAGAAGTCTGAAGTAAAGCTTCCAGGACAGGCCTCGTCTTCTGCAGCAAGGGTTGAATAGCTCTTCGGATTAGACTTGGAAATTGCAGCCGCTGTAAAGGAAAAGTGGAAGAGATTCCGAATAGGGCTTTATGACTTCTGGGACTTTCGGTTGTACCCAGCTGATTACTTCCATTGCTGCTACTACTGAATCGAGCAGAGTAAAGAAGCTCCCATATGCCACAATGGCAAACAAGTGAGATAGTTTCTATATGCCTTAGCAATGTTTATTGTTTTAAAAAGCGATAATTAGAATTTTAATAAAACCCAAACACATGAAAGTGAATTTATATATATATTTTTTTTATTTTTGAGATTTGACAACAAAGATATTAAACACTATTACTGCTTATTTACAAGAATAGTTTTACGAGATTATAAAATATAAAAACCTACTATCATGAGATATTTATTATTTAACATTTTATAAAGAAATAAATATGAAAATTTTTTATTTATTAATTTATAAAAATGTCTATGAACAACAAAAGTACAGCATTTCTTTCATCACCTACAGTATGCCCGTATTTTTTTGCCACGAATATTGCATTGTCGTTAGTTTAAATATTTTGATAATTTTGTAACTTTTATAAACTTTTGAATAAAAAGATTTATTTTTAGATTTATTTGTTTATAAAATGGTAAATAAATCTTTTTAAAAGGTAAATAATAAATATCGCATTATACTCGACTCATATATTCTTATAATTTTGTAAATAATCGTTGATGGGGAAGTCAAAAGTACAGTAATAGCGGTATTAAGGGAATAGCCGTCCTTTTGACACGCCGTATTTAGCGGAAACGAAGGATAAACATTGCCATAAAATTTATTCTCTTTTTATGTTTTATATTAGATGTAAGTTAAATCAGTCAAAAGGAATTTGATATGCAATAAACGTCTAAGATGCTAAAATGAAAGATTCCGTTTTCACTCGTGCATATATGATGGAATGGAAAGGTTCTCAGTTATGTGCCATTCGTGATACACGCTTAGGCGATCACGTATCTTTCTATACATGACTGCCGAAGAAGACATTTAGAAAATGTAAATATATTTTAATGGACATTTGTTATATTTCATCATATAAAATACATTATTGCTTCAGTAATAAAATAACATTTAATACACCACTAAACTTATAATTATTCATATTCGAAATCTTAAGGTTAAATACCAAATATTGTGTATTTTATTCATAGTTAAAATTAATTAAAATTAAGAAATTTCATCTGCTTAGCTTAGGCAAATTAAAGTCCCTTCTCATTAAGAGATTTTTGTAGGGATCGAAATAATGATTGATTGATTGATTTGTTTTCTATGGCTTATCAACCCTTTGCAAGTTATTTAATGCCAGAAAATACTTTTAGATTTTAAGAATTATTTTATGAGATAATAACGGTTTAGTGATACAAGTTTTACTAATTAACCCATAACTGGGGGAGAAGGACGGATTCATACCTTTCCTAATGGTATTTGCGTGTAATTGAATATAAAGAACCGAACGGAAATTGGAAGTCATCTCTATGCTTAACAATTCTGAGCCATTATCCATTATATCACCTGCGCACCTGGTACTTCCAAGCGGTCATGCATCTAGGTACTGACCAGCTTCGATGTTGCTTAACTTTGGTGATCGTACAGGAACCAGTGTTTCAACGTGATATGGCCGTAAGCCGAAACGAGATAAGAGGTAATGTGAAGGTGCAAAGACACGTCAGTACAGTGGGTGCAGTAGAAGATACCAGTTAACCTGTACCAATTTCTGCCAGGTCTGCAAAGAGATATGAGGTCTTTTTTCCTGATGGAAAACGACACTTTTTTGGTTGGCCAATTCCTGATGCTTTTCATCGATTCCTGCCGTTAATTGGTTGAATTGAAAAAAGTATTTGAATTCAATGTTTGGATTTGTGGAAGGACCTCATAATGCACAATGTGTTTATAATCCTATCAGATACATAGTATCACCTTTAAATGGAGATCAGCTTCTGGAGTGGTTGACGGTGGACCATTTCATATATCAGCTGAACCTTTTTCATTCCATATCGTTGTAAACAAGCCATTTTTCATAACCTTTGATTTTTCTTTTGAAAAAAATGTTTTTTTTTTGTTGCTTTGAACATAGAATCACAGATAGAGACCCAATCAATTAAATTATTTCCATTAAATTGGGAGGCACTTAAACTTAAAAAATATTTTCCAATACCTTACAGTACTCATGTGAGGTATATAGAGTATCTCAACGATATTCTATGTCATATGACTTGGGTTATATTTTTAGTGTTTCGATTTGGTCATCATCAACGACTGCAGGCTTGCCTGGAATTTCTCAGTCCTCCAGATCAAAATTCCACATCTGAAACTAGTGAACCATTTATAAACAGGACTGTCAGCAATGGCATCATATCCATAAATGGTGGATGAAATTTTTTTTTTTTTTTTTGCTATTTGTTTTCCAGAAAGAAAGCATCAAATGACAGAAATGCATGTCATTTTCTTCCATCTAAACTTTTAAAGTAAAACATTTAAAATTCAGAATCCACACACGAATCATATACAACGATACGTTGATGTGTCACGTTTCAGAATTTGTATATATATCATAGATTTCACTCAGTCATGTGTTCAACGAAATCACCGAAACAAACGACACCTATTGAAAAAAAAAACATTACAAACTTTTGTCCCAACCGAATACTATTACTTAGAATTTAAACCACTTAAGACCAATTAATTAATGAAAACTTGAATTCAACAGGAAAATAACAATGATTGGTATGTTTTACTTTTATTTTAGGTACGCACTGGATGTGGGAAGTGACGAGCATGCTTTTGAAGGAGAAAGCTGAGAGGATCCAGGGAGTCAAAGAAGAATTCATGATAGACTTCGTTCCAGCTCGGAAATTTTCAGAAATATCTCCACCACGTCTGTTTAATACGCATGTCCAACCTCAGTTTTTGCCAGAAATCGTTCTCTCCCAGAACAAAATCATTTTTGTAGCACGTAATCCTAAAGATGTGGTTGTTTCTTACTATAAACATTCGTATGGTATGCTACAGAATCATTATAATGGAACATTTCCTAGTTATTTTGAATTGTTTATAAAAAAAAAGTGTAAGTATTATTTTGGTAATGTTCTTTTATCCATTCTATATGGTGGCACTTACAGAAAGATTTTTAAAAAATTCTCAAATGATGATTTTTATTTGCTTATGAGATTTTACTAATGTCAAGCAAAGAAGCAAACATAAGAAAAAAATATAAATAGAATGAAGTATAAAAGAAATCAAATTGCCAGAGGGACAATCTCTCTCTCTCTCTCTCTTCTCTCTCTCTCTCTCTCTCTCTCTCTCCCTCCCTCCCTTCCTAGCTTATTCCAAAAATCCAAACAACCTATCATCAAGATCTTCGGGTTGCCTTTCATGGCTTTTCTTCTGGTAACGATAATTACTTGCTGGTGTTCATCCCCTCGCAAACTAAAATGCAACAGGTTAAAATGGGTTATTTGGTACTGGCAGCAGGGGTTCATTTCTGATCCGACCTATTCTTGGGAAAGACCTCATAGTGTCCTTTCCCTATCAGCTGTCGACCGCCCAAGGCTAGAGAGTACAATTAATGTTGCTATTTTTAAACCCATAACACAGGGTGTATATAAAATAGATTTTTACGTCTTTTGCAAAGACAGTGCAAAAGAGAATCTACTTGATATTATTCACACATCCTGTTATTATTATTATTATTATTATTATTAATAAAGGCAATGGAAAAGCCAATAAGAAACAACACCATTATCTTTCTCAAAATTGTATGATAATTCACAGATGAAAAATCATAATCACCTACGTACTGAAGATAAATCCATAAAAAAAATAATCAAGGGACATTACTCTATAATAACATTTTAATGTAATTCGAGTTACGTCCCTTAAAAAATTAAAGCAACAGCAGATAATTAATTACTATGAAGTGTTGCAACAAATCAATTTGGAAAACTCTGGATTAAACAACTATAGCAATTAGTATATTTACTTTCATTTTTACATGTGACAAAGCATATAAACTTTAAAATATTGTCATCAGCGTACACTTATAGTGTAATGGCTAATAAACTTATCTCACAGACCAGTTCATTCATCCAGTCAGTTTGACTCTCATGGGATGTTCTGAGTCGTTGGCTTTCTTTCAGATTAAGTTCTTTTTAAATAATGAAATGAAATGAACTACAATTCTGTTTCTAAATAAGATTAATAGAAATCTGTTTGTAAGATATTCTTTAACCTTGAGCTCTATAAAATAACTTCAAAAAGAGCATACAAGGTTTTCAAGATATGGTTTCTTAACCTTGTACACAACCTGTAGGAGGGGAGTTGATATTCTATGATTCTGTCAGTGAAACCTCTCTCGTGAAAATTCTCCAACGGATTCTTCAGTTGTTCATGATGAAAATTTTTAAATTAGGTCCACATAGCTCAGAGGTTTAGTGCAGTTGATATGTTCAACCAGGCTTTGTTGAGGCAATAAGTGAGTTTCAAGTTTTTACCAACAGCTGAAACTTTAGTTCTGAGCTGTGCTATTTATTCACTGCCATAGATCAATGTTCTTTTGCAATAAAAAGTAACTAAAATAATCTCAGATAAAAATAATGTTAATGACAATTCTCAAAAAATTATAAGCAATGTTTTTGAATCAGTCAGTTAGTTATGTGCCATGCCTGATGCACATTTAGGTGATCATGTATCGAAAGATACATGAGTGACGAGGCAGATTTTTTCCCACAGTAGTTTACCATATTTTCCTGCAGTAGACTAGTCGCCATCCGAGGCTATAGAACCTGGTGTGTCCTGCTATTTACCCATAGCTTGGGGGTGGGAGAAGAAAAGGATTCATACCTTTCCCAAGGGTATTAGCACATAAATGAATGTAACTAGATTTGACTGGAATTCAAACTTGGCTCTTTGATTCCTCAATTCGAGCGGCTATCCATTACTCCACTATGCTGCCCTATTTTTGAATAGTACAGTAAATTGAACTGAGTTAAAAATATCATAAATTTTCTTTTAATGAAGAATAATATATAATACATAAACAAATAGCAAAAAAGTTACACAAACACAATTTTTCTAATTGATTTTAATGGCTTGATAAATTTTCCAAAAAAGAATTCCAGAGCTTTCCCAATTTCTGCATTAATAGCATATTTTAAAAATAAGTATTTTTCAACAGATTCTTTAAGTTGTGTTAGCTAAGCAAAATATATAATAAAAAATGAATATCAATATTAATCATTATAAATTTAATTGAAATAACAGGTAATTAATTAAACTGTTGCAACAAACCATCTCTGGATTAAACAAAATACTGAAATTAGTAGTTTTCCTTTTCTTGCATTTAAAAATGGAAATATTACCATCACTAAACTCCTACGAATGTATAAAAAAAAACGTCCTTTTGACAATCAGTCTTTTTGTGGCCACGTTTCTATGATTGTAAATGTCTCAAAGACTTAAAATACTCATTTGCTAGCTGACTGTTGCCATGTCTCAAAGAATCATTTCTACTTTGGGAGAAATTGCTTAAAATGTTACATAAAGATGTGCTGGCTAACTGATTAACTGTCATGTAGCATCTAGGATTAGGGAAGCCACAATTTGGAAATTCAGAAACTGTTGGTAACTTCTAGATAACCTGTTTTAGTAACGGGGGGAATCGAGAGAAAGACTTCTTTCTCTTCTTCACTTAAAGTAAGTTTTCTTTTATATCAAAAAGAGAGTCAATAGAGAAAAGCTTGACCAGAAAATCCTAAACAGATGGTTAGTCATTTTATTCTTTGGTTTATTAGGAATCAATATCATTATCCAGTGGCATCTGGATTCTTTATAAGTCCCAGATTATCTGGCTATCAAATAAACTGATGAATGGGAAACATTCAGTCATTAATCTTAACGTTGTCTCATTTCCCATAAAAACCTATTGACATCTCGGTTAGTTCTTGCTGTCAACATTTCAGCTGTGATAAATAACATCCCAAGAAAAATATATTTTTTTACTGTCTGGAAATTGTTTCAATTTTTACAAACAAAATTTGGGGACCTTGTTTGAGAAATTTTGAATTTTTTAAATATTTACCTGATTCTGTTCTATTTATTAAAAAGAAAATTTTGAAGGCAATCTTTATAACCTTTACAAAAAAGAAAAATGATGTGTGAAAAGAACTTTTTTTTCATTGACACCACTATTAATTTAATTACCTTCACTCCTCAGCAATGGTTATTGTTTTAAAAAGTGATGATTGGAATTGTAATAAAACCTAAACATATGATGAAATTGAATTTAGACATTTTTTCTTCTTGAGAATTTACAATGAAAATATTAAACACTATTTATTATTTTGTTTATTCACAAAAATAATTTTATATTTAAAAATAAAATTCTAAAATCTAATACAATTATATTAAAATGAATGAAATGCAATATTTATCATTTACCACTTTATAAAGAAATAAATATGAAAATAATTTTTTATTCATAAATTTACAAACATTTACTAAATTAATAAAATATGTAAATCAACCATAAGAAAATCCATATTTACCATTTTACGAAGTTTTAATCAATTAGCAGCTATCCAATGTTTGTTCCAATCATTCCAATAAACAATCTAATAAATAAATAGT